CAAGTGCATGACGAGCAACTGAGTGACAGATACTTAGGCATGCCTACTGATGTGGGTCATGCTAAGAATGGGACTTTTAAATACCTGAAGGATAGAGTTTGGGAAAAAAATCAAGGGGTGGATGCAGAAACTGTTATCATATGGAGGTAAGGAGGTGCTAATTAAATTAGTTGCTCAAGCCATACCCGTATATTCTATGTCTTGCTTCAGATTACCGAGAGGTATTTGTGAAAGTATAACTTCAATGATACGACAATTTTGGTGGGCAGCAAAATGGGGAAGAGAAAACCTTGTTGGGTGTCATGGGATGTATGCACTAAGCCAAAGTACTTGGGAGGACTTGGCTCTAGAGATATTGAGATATTTAACTTGTCACTCATGTCTAGGTAGGCTTGGAGAATATTACAAGACCCAATGGCTTTGAGTTCCAGAATACTGCAAGCGAAATACTACCCTGCATCGTCTTTCTTGGAAGCTCAATTAGGAGATAACCCATCACAAATATGGAGAGAGATCATTGATGGAAGAGAAGCTCTTGCACAAGGACTTATTAGGAGAACTGGGACAGGAGAAGAAACAAAAATATGGGATCATAATTGGATACCAAGGTCGGGGATGATGAGGCCAATAACATCTCTTGTAGAAGATAAGCCAACTTTTGTTTCAGAGTTGATTGATAGATCGTCCGCATCTTGGCGAGAGGAAAAAGTGCGAGAAGTGTTTATACCTCTGGATGCTGAGAGCATTCTCGGGATCCCGCTTTGTACGAGGAGAGTGGCTGATTTTTGGGCCGGGAGAAGATGATAGGGGCATTTTTTCAGTAAGATCAGTATACAAAATTTTGCTTGGGATGAAGTTAAGGAACGAATCTTTACTGCAGCCGGCTGGTGGTCACTCGAATGACTCCAGGGACAAGGGAGTTTGGACATCACTTTGGAAGATGAAAATTCCGTCAAAAATAAAAGTGTTCCTGTGGAGACTGTGCCATGAAACAACACCTACAGCTGATCTTCTCCACCATCGCAACATGTCCACTACAAAGGTCTGTGCATTATGCTCTTCACAGGATAGCTGGAAACATGCCCTCATAGACTGTATAATGGCAAGAAGCGTTTGGTCCTTATGCTCGGAAGAAACGGTGGAGACTATGGTTGAGATTTTGTCAATGAACGTAAGGGCCTAGCTCTTTACTTTGCATCATACCCTATCCCATGCTGAATTTACCTGTGTGGTGGTGACACTATGGGCGATATGGCGAGCAAGAAGAAGGGTCATACATGAAGAGATTTATGAAAGTCCTTTCTCAACCAATGCTTTTGTCATGTCTTTTCTCAGATATCTTCAGTTAGCTGAAAAAGAGCCGGTAGTAAGCAACATGATTGCAGTGCTTCGGCCGGCAACTTGGCAGCCTCCGCCAGAGGGCCATGCAAAGCTTAATGTAGATGCGGCAGTCTTCGCTCTTCGGTGATGGAACTTTTGGAGTATCGGCAGCTATATGTCGAGATCAGTTTGGTATCTTTTTGGGGGCTTCGGCGATCAAGTTGAAGTATGTCAGTAAGGCTGCTACTTTGGAGGCTCTGGCGATACGAGAAGGACAAGCTCTGGCTGAGGATGTGTATGTCAACTGGATACATATTGCCTCGGATTGCAAAACAGTGGTGAATGACATAAAGAAAAAAATCAGCGACGGAGTATGGAGCTATAGTACAAGAAATAACACATCGTTCTCTTTATTTCTCTTCGTGTAACATAGCTCATGAGTTTAGGAGCTCGAACTTCGAGGCTCACAATCTTACTAAACATGTTTTGACGCTCGGCTTTGGTCGCCACGTGTGGTTGGGCCAACCGGGGAAGTTGTCTTTTGTACCTGTAAACATTCAAGTTTCTGAATAAAGTTTGGCAAGGTTGTCTAAAAAAAACATAGCGCTCAAGTGTGTATGGCTTTTTTTTGCAAGAGCTTAAGTGTGTCTGTTGTCTGTTCGCCCTATCCACGCGTTGAGTCGAGTATGATTACGGCATGAATGAATGAACTGAACTGCATTTCATGGCGGCGATGATGGTATGCATCAAGATGACCTCCATTATGAAGGTAATTACGAGTTCACAAAGGTAAAAGAAGTCTATGATCACAGCACAAGTGTTGTTGCCGTTCTCATCGAACCAACCAACACCCGTCGGCCAAGCGAACCAACCTGTGGTTGGATGGTTAGAGGGACTGTGGTATCTTCAGCCCACCAGGGTTCAAATCTTGGTGCTCGCATTTATTTCTGGATTTATTTCAGGATTTCTGGCGATGCGCATTCAGTGGGAGGAGACGTTCCCGTCGATGACAAGGTGCCTACGGCGACTTCGTAAATTTCAAGATGATACGCCGGTTCGGTCTTTCGGAGATGCATAGGGTACGGTGCGCGTGTGCGTTCATATTGTTGAGTGTATGCGCGTGTATATAAACGTTTGTGTCTGTACTGATGTTTAAAAAAAACACCCGTCGGCCACTAGTACTGCCCAGCCATCACTTGTTGAACTGAAAAACCCGTTCCCTTTTTCTGACAAACTGAAAAATATGTTCCCTTCTTTTTGACAAACTGAAAATCCGTTCCCTCCTTCAGTTTGCCCGTGGCCGTGAGCGGTCCATAGGCTATATATAGCTATAACAGCTAGTACACATGTACAGAGTACACTATACTTATTACTCTGTGATACTGTTACTAGCTATATGTGATACTACTGTTTGTTAGCTGGACCAGGGGCATAGAAATACTCCCTCCGTCTGAAAATATTTGTCAAAAAAATGCATAAAAATGAATGCCTCTAAAACTAAAATACATCTAGATACATTCATTTCTCCGACGAGTATTTACGAACGGAGGAAGTATTAGCGAATACATTCATGACTCGTACATGACTCTCCAATTGTACTCTAGTGTACAACACGCGTAGGACGTCCTCATTACGCTTCAGCATTATAAAAACTGACCGATGAATATGCCGCAAGACACCGCGGCACACAGGGACAAGCAGACCCAAAAAGAAATTAAAGAAGTACTCCCTCCATTCGAAAATACTTGTCAGAGAAATGGACGTATCTAGACGTATTTAGTGTTAGATACATCAATTTTTAATCATTTCTATGACAAGTATTTTCGGACAGAGGAAGTAGTTTTTAGACAAAAAAATAAATAGTACTTCATCCGTAAAGAAATATACACTTCTGGATCTAAACGGGCCGAAGAATGACAAAATCCTCATGTCGGGTTGTTTTGGGAAGCGCCACATGCCAGCTCCGTCGGTGCGGCATTCATTACCTCTTGCATTTTGTATAGGAAAAGAGAGTAATCCATTCACATGCGCACGCCACCACTAGTTTATATGGCGAAATATTTCCCTCCTAATAATATTTTGCTCGACGCAGCAGGAGATATTCCCGGACGCCAGGTGAGAAGGGGAGCGGGTGCGTGCACAGTACAGGAGGAACCACCAGCACACTGCATAAATTTATATTTATACCTTGTTGCCTTTTTTTAGGGTACCGTGTTGCCTTGTTGGGGGATCAGCCATTATTTGCATGCCATGTACGTATACGTATACATACCGGCACAGTGGACTGCATTACATCCGGTTGTTGTGTGTGTAGCGTATACTACGTGCGTTTTGTCTTGCATTATTATACCATCACCACGTCGCTGCAAATCCCAACCAACCCTCCGTCCGCCCCCATGTGACGATCGATCGCTGGAGTGGAGTAGGAGCATTCGCTAGGGGACAGCACAGAAACAGAGGTCCACGATGGAGCAGTAGAATATATTTGTAATTTCTTTGTGCTCTTCTTCCGTCTGGTCTCGCCGTTGTCTGGTCTGCACGGCATTGTGCGAAAAGGCCATGGGCATGGTGTTATTAATCTCCTGGTGCAATGCGGTTATGCAGATCAGTGTCTCCGTGACTATGGTGGAGAGCTAGAAAACAATCTTTGCCATCAAGGAGATGCCATTGGGCGGGCATCAGGAAGGACGAGGCACATAAGGCTTGAGCAATTAATTAAGATTCACTAGTGGCTGGGGCGCCTCTTGAGACGTTACTGTGCGCACTAACCAAGCTACTGTAGTTATTAACGTGTTGACAGTGTAGATAAGCGGAATGGTTAAAAATATAACACCATCACCATCAATTATCAAGCAAAAACTCTGCTTCAATTAATTATAGTAACCGACATGTCTTAGAAACAATTTTCTGCAACAGCACATGCATATAACCAATTAAAAATGACAGAGGAGATGCAATGAAATGTAAGCCTATATGAATTCCTTCATAGGAATGTGTTGTTACTTATATGAATAGGAGAAGATCCAGAGCACAGCTCACAGGAAATATGATACGATCTCTCTCCTGGTGCCCTGCACAAGCAAGATATAAGATATTAAGCAATTTTACAAACACTTCATCTCTATAAATCCAACGAGTACTCTCTAGCATATATTTTGAAAAGAAGAGGTCTTGTTCATCACTCCACAAAACCTGCATATTAGTGTAGCAAGCAAAGACATGCAAAATATTTTATTAAGCTTTGAAGGCATGCAAAACATTTCCTCGTGGCGAAGAAGACGGTGTCTGGCCGGATCGGGTCATCGTCACGGGGGGTCATGTCGCCATCATCATGCCGGCCATGAAGACATGATTATCTAAGGGAATTTACCTTAAGGTTTACTAATGAAAACAGGACAAGAGAAGAACTAAAGATTAATTTAATTAACCTCTATGTTAGCTCTAAGCAATCTTGTTATATAGGTTAGCCCGTAGGTCGCATCGATACCTAAAGTTCTCGTTGGTAGTTTGCAAAGGTGAAGGATTGAATAATTACGAAGTTGCAACAAAATGATTTAAATACCAAGAGTTTTAAAACAGAGGAAAGGTGGAAAGGGAAGCGACCTGATTGGTGCTCTTCAGATAGAGATGAAAGACAAAAGGACCGCCAAAAAACCACACATAAATAAAACAGTAGATGATCAGAACCACTCGGCAGGTGTCTTCAACATTGCCCTCCAAATCGATGAATCCTCTGCATCTTTGATCTTAATTATGTACACCCAGCAGAACCCAGACACGTAGAGGCATAGTAGTGTGGTCGAGAATACAAACATATATAATAAACGATAATTACGCTGCACCAGAAAAGCTGGTAGTTAGCACCAAACATTGATTAATAGTTGCAATAGAGATTCATCATGCAGATTCGGATGACAATGAAATATATTAGACTATTAGGCATTAATATAGTTACCAGTCCTATGCATTGACCAACCCAAGGACAGTGATGATCAAAACGCTCCACACAGTTGTTATAGATAGAACAGTGAGAAAAACGAGGTGGCGGATGCAGCATGTAGGTGTGGTAGTACTTGACCTTTACAACGGTTCCATTTACAATAACATCCTTCGTTCGTGGTAAGCGCAATTGTTGTGGAGTCTGACCATTTCCAGTATCATTGTTACGAGGCACCATACCAGGATCTCTACAGAGGTAAGAAGCAGCAGCGTCAAATCCTGGAAAATGAAAGGAACCAACTTCAGACGAGTGTGAACACTACAACAGTGCATATTCATATGACCTGAGGAGAGGACAGAAGCATGAAAGATCACAAAATGTTTCACATGTATTCCCAAATAAGATTGTTGCTGAAACACATCCAAACTGCAACTAATCAAGGGAAACAATAAAAGAATTTAAGCTGAGAAGAAGTAAAGATTAATTTAATTTACCTCTATGTCTGCTCCAAGCAATCTCTTTTGCATTTTAGCGCTTCATGCAAATAGCTTACAACAACAAGAACATTTCCGGTACCTTCTTCCATCATATCCACTTTTCAACAATTCAGCAAATGGCAGTCAGTTCCTAAATGATATTGTTCACAAAGTAAACCCGGGCATGCCAAGTCTACATCGATGGCGACTGCTTGCGAAGGATTAAGATTCTGCTATTAGTAAGTAGGTATAGTACACATCTTGTTATGCAAACAACATCTGTTATTAGATCCTTACAATCACACTTCATGCTTCTATTTTCTAAATTAAAATAACGACCACATTACAGCAAAAAATAAACACACATATATCTAGCTCAATTACCAAAAACACATATTTCCTGCGACTTAACTCTGTTAACTATAAAATATCAATTCAGGTGCAAAGCTTATTACAATACAAATCCCACTGAATGGTCCCTACTGGAACAAAAAGAGATCACATGATGCATACAGAAGGCAAATGATTTTCAAAGTGTAACCTAATCAAGCGCCACAAAATACCATACTGCAAGGGAGACTTGACTCAATTGGGTTTGACACTCAGTTCAAAATGCAGTACCATTTCAGAGTTTTCGACAACAAGTTAACATTATTGGAGAACATCTCATGTGCCACATCTTCGTCAGATTATCTAGTTTGTAGTACATTCTGCTTAGATATTACAACAAAAAGAGCATAACAATACCTTGGGCTCGATGATGTCAGATATGCAAAGCTTGAACTGCTGCATTGGACCGGAATGCCACTAATGTTGCCGCTTCCAGTAAAGCCTCATATGACTCTGGTAGTTCGCATTGGCAGTGCCCATAGTAAGGCAAACACATCAGATCAGTTGAACCGGTCAGCAGAATTATCAAACAAAATATTTATTCAGAAAAAAATTGCTCATATCAATACCTCGACGTTGTTCAGGACGAGCCATGTCCATGTCCTCCGCTGTTGTCCGTTCCATCCACCGGCGGGCAGGGATGAGCAGGACGAGCATCTGATGGCGATCTTGTTCTTTGCTTCCTCTTCGATCATGATCTCTTGGTCCCGGCACTCGGCACTGCAGAATGCCTTCTCACCGATGCAATGGCACACAACAATTAAATCAGTATGCCTTTCTGTCTGAAGATGCATAGAAAGAAACAGTTGTTGTATCAAATAATGCAATTGGATGAATGATTTCACCGAAGCAATATGTTCAGTTGCTGTACAAAGAAATAACTGGATGAATGTTTCAAGTTTTCACAAGATTTCCTCCCCAAATGTATATGGGATGTTCCCAGGCGAACAACGCCACAATTATTTGTTGGATAAACTGTTTTCATTCAGGTGTAATCATCGGAGTATCTTCAAACTAAAACTCTGAAAGACTGAGCGTAGTGATAGATGTAAATGCAGTTTCCTTACAGCTTCTTCTTGCAAGTGAAGCAGGAGCTCAAGAATTCTACTTGGCACTAGAGTGAGCGCCATCCGGCCAAGCGGCCTCGGACCAGACTTCACATCCCCGTGCAGGAACTTGTTGAGGGCACCGACATGCCAGCGGTGGCCAGGCCGGGCTGGAGATCATCTTGCCCCCAAGCTTTGGCTAATGTATCCTTCCCATTGATGCAAGGAATCAACTGTCCGCGTCAGCTCTAATACTGAAGGCCTGAAGCATCAAAATAGACACAGACATGATATCCATCAGACCATCAATTCAAAATGATTACAAAAATGGAGCAAAATCTCTCCCGAAATAAACGTTTAGTTCATTCTCAAAGCTAAGATACCCTCAAAACATTAGAAGAGAGTGCTGATAATTATTATTACCAAAATATGTTAGTTACCATTCGGCAGAGGAGACGCCACTGCTGATAATCCTTCTTCCCGAACATGGCGACATCATGTTCGATGAGTTGAGTAGCTTGGCGACGACAGTGGCCACTCCACAGAAGAAGACGGGCCGGTTGCCCCACACAACCCCTTCTTCAGCCGCTCCACCCGTATCCACGCATCATGCCTCCCGATCCCCTCCGGCTAGCATAGGCGAGGTTAGGGAAGAGGAGATAAGAAAGCACTAAGAAGAAGAAAAGACTGGGAGCTAACAGTGAGCAAATCCGCGGCGGCTTACCTCGACTTGCCATCCTCATCGACGTGTCCCTCTGCTGCGGCTTGTGGCAGTTCACTCTCGTCCGGTTGAGCACCAACAAGGAAGAAGGAGCAGAGCCCAGGCGGGGGCTGGAGGAGGTGGAGCTCAGGACGGGACATGGAGAGGAGTGACCTCGAGCGAAGTGGGGGAGGGCGGCGGCGGCGGCGGCGGCGTTTTTCCTAACCCTAGCTAGGAGGGAGACGCTGGGTGCGAGGGGCGAAGGACAAAATTACTGTTCTGACCCTTAAGGCAAACTAAATCCCGATTTGACCTCGTTCCAAAAAAAATTTCGTTTCTGACCTTTTTCGGTGACGCCAAGGTCCCTGGCGTCTGGGTTACGAAGCAGACGCCACGGTCCCTGGCGTCTGGCCCCTTTGCCACGTCAGCAGGTCA